TCAGTTTTAACAGTTTCACCTGGCCTGGTTTAGCAGCTCATAATACACCACACCTTCTTGATCCCATCAAACTCAGAGCATTGTCTTCTTTCTGAAGCAATATGGCCTCGCAATCAATGTTGATGGTTGACCTGGATCAACTCATGCTTTTGTGCATTTGCTATTCTCAAAATAAATCCACTTTTCATCACCAGTCACAATTCAATGCAAAAAAGACTTTCTTTAATGCCGTTGAAGCAACATTTTACTGATGACTTTTCTGTTTTCCATTTGTCTTTCATTCAGTTGATGTGGCACCCATTTTCCTTCCTTTAAAATCTTTCCCATTGCTTGTAGACAATCAGAAATTGTTTGCTGAGCAACGTTTAATCTTTCTGCAAGTTGTTTTTGAGTTTGACAGGAATCTTCATCCAATAATTTTTGTAATTGTTTGTCTTCAAGCTTTTTTGGTTGACCTGTAATGTTCTTTGTCTTTCACATTGAAATCGTCACCTTTAAAGCATTTAAACCAGTATTCACAAGTATCCTGAAATTGTGCATGTTCACCATAAACTTCCCGAAGTATATAACTTTTTCTTCAAAATAAAGTAATGAATTAAAACTTCCCACAAATGCTCTTTTTTTGGCACAAAATTCAACATTTTTAAGCATAAAAACATCTATGATGTTAACACCTTCAGAAAATTTGTCATATGAAGTTTTGAAGCTAGCTGTCAATACAACAAAACAGTATATGTATCAAATCATATATATATCAACATATGTGTAACTCCCTCTATTGAAAGAAATCCGCATTATTAATTGGTACACCTAGTATGTAATGAGAGAGAATATGAGAATATAGAGTTGTGGCCCAGAAAGTGGATTGTTTGGTGTATATGTGGTAAGTGTGAGTGTGTGCAAAATAAGGAAATCTAATACTGTATTAAGTTTTCCTGAAAAGTTTCAGCTGTACTTTACTCTTCTTTACATTTTGTAAATTAATATGGAAATAACACATTTTTAAATCATATATATATATATATATATATATATTATTGATTATGGTCTCACATAATTGTCCTTATCCCCCCATTCCCATCCCAAACCCCTCCCTAGATATGCCCCCCCACCCCGTTGTCCATGGCCACTGGCTAGGCCCATATGTATGCACACAAGTCCTTTGGTTGATCTCTTCCCCTTACCCCCATCCCCCCTTACTTTCCCTCTGAGGTTTGAGAGTCTGATCGCTGGTTCTCTTTCTCTGGGTCTGTTTGTGTTGTTCATTATTTCCTCTAGATGTGTGAGATCATGTGATCCAAGAAATACCCTTGTAAGAACCTAAACTGCAACATGCCATAATGGTTACGCTGAGAGGTAAATGAATCAGTCTGTAGTGAGTTCCTTTCTGGGCCAACAATCCTTTTGCATCCCAATTTCAATGCCAGATAGTTCTTTATGTGTACATGCCAGCCATGATATTTCAGATCTGGTTGGTGGACAAATGGCGGTAATGCAGGTCTGCCTGTCTCTGGTTTGGTCCTGGACATCCTTCAGCAACCCGCGGCTGCTGTCTGCTAAATTAATATTCAGTTTTCATTGATGAATAGAGAATTCTGTTTATGATTTTAAAAAGAAATAAATGACAATACAACCATAACCTGAAGCTTCTTTAATTTTTGAGTATAACATGATATAATTTTTCAAAGTGAGTAGTCTTATTCTTCTTAAAGCCAAATAATAACCTCCTGTAAGATTAAAAATGTGTAACTATGGATATTTAGTAGGACTGCTAATGCTTTTTTATCCCCTTATTAACACACAAATGTATCTGTGGAAGTCAGAGAAATAGTAGTGTCCCTGGAGCAAACATTTCTAACAATCAGATGTCTTTTGTTAGAAATCCAGAAAACGTATGACTGATTGCTTTCTTGCATTAAACTGAGGGTACTAAATGAAAAACAAATTAGGTACAGATGTTGACTATATTGAGATTAATTTTATTCTCATGGGCACCATTTTCCTTAGCTGCTTGGACTAATAGCAATTTGTTTTTAAAAAGTGAGTATGTCAAAATAACTAAGACAATCACCACAGTTCAATAAGTTTTTCCCATATATGTATTTTGAAAGTGGATACATGTTTCTAACAAACAAAATGTCTAGGATTTGTATTAATAATGACTTTTTACATAAGTAACATAATATATGTTCATTCATGCAACCAAGACATGTCAGACACTGAGTCAGATTCTGGGAGATTAAAAAATAAAGCAAGGTTCTTGCCTGGAGCTCTAATCTAGTGGGAAAGAGACGAGTAAGCAATAATTACAGTACAAGATAATGGGCTCTGATAGAGACAGGAACAAGACGCTATGGAAACATGAGTTTTTCCTACTAACCAGTCTGCAGAAAGATAATATAGTCCACTATCACACAAAAAGCAAAAACTAAAAAAATAACATAGGAGAATGGTTGCTTTTCAGGTCAAAAATAATAACAATGATTATTTATATGTAATGGCTATTGAAATTTTATAAAATCTTAGGTACTCTAAAGTAGACAGACTACCTTTAATTATCACTGAGTATCTTTATCCGTGATTTTTGTAAACAATGTAAGAGCAGGAATCATGTCTTTTACCTCTGTGTTCCAAGGCCTAGTGCAGTACCTGTTACCCAGTAACAGTATTAACGTGTTGAATGAATGCATGCACAAATACATGAATATTGATGATTACATAAATGGCACACTTCTGGGTTCATAGCAAACGGAATTAAGTGGACAGGCCTTTTGAAAAGAATATTTGACATCTGATATATCAGAGAGGCCTATTAAACAAAGAGAAATGAAATTTAATAGGGATTGGTACTGACATTATTAGTTACAGCAGATCTATCTAACTCATTTCTTTATAATCTCTCAAGGTGGATAGTCATGATAACAGAGTAGACATTTGGTAGCTACTTACTGAAGGAACAGTTCTACCTCCACAGATCTATCTCTTGGACCCAACTCCTCCCTTCTACACAGCTTTCTATGTCCCTCCACCCTCTTCTTCCTGAGTGGCTCCCTAGTAGTCAGGACCCTTCATTTAAAAAGTGTAATTAAAAAAAAAAAAAAAGCATAGGAAGTACATAGTACAAAAGCCTGGCACACGCCCACATCAGATACTAAATGGCTGAAAATTAATGAGCTAGGTTGTCCTAAGAAAATTAGTTATTTGTATGTTTTAAAATGAGAATGCATGGATCCCTACACAAAAATCTATTTTGTTATATAACAAAAGTCTTGAAATAGGAAAGAAAATATGGGCAGATTTTAAAACAAACTTTGCTTAGTCCTAGCCTCTCTGCTATTGTTTACCAATGGGTTTTGAGAGTCTTACCCTCTAAAAGCACAGTTTAGGAATCTGCTAATGATGGGTGAGGGAGTTGTACCCAGAGTTTTGGGTTCCTTCTCTGCGGTTCCCTTCTCTCCAGGATTTGCCCTTCAAGTTCCAGCCACTGCTAACTCCAAACTCTGCCTGGGTTTCTCAGCCTACTAAGATTACAGCTTCCTGCTGGAGTAGTATTCTTTTGCATTCCAATTTGGAAAATGCCTTAAAGGTAAAAGGCAGGATGAATGTGGAGCTAATTTCACATGCTCCCCTTGTCTAATGGCCACATTTTCTTAGACCCTGCCTATGCCGATTGTCCTCAAGGCCTTCAAACAATGTACTGTATAAATTCTGTTTAGTTTTTAGAGATGTTCTTGGCAGATATATTCTAAAATAAGTGGTCACAGTTAGAGCTTGTGCCTAGTTATCAAAGTTCCTTATTGGTTGCTCAATTTTTCTGATTTTTTTTCTTTGATAACTTCACTAGAGGCTTGATGCACAAAATTCGTGCAAGAGTAGTAGGCTTCTTTCCCTCAGCTGCCAGCACCGGCTTTCCTCTGGTACCTGGGACTTGGGCTTCCCTCTGGCTGTTAGTAGGCACCTGGGAACCAGGTTTCCCTCACAGCCCTGGCTTTGTCTGGAAGGTTGTCCAGAAGGACATCCAGTCTAATTAGCATATTATGCTTTTATTATTATAGGTATCTTCTTTTAAAATAACCATCAATGATTATTTTATACTTGAGGCATGGTGCATGGGTAGGATCTCTAGGCCTGGCCAGCCATCAGGGCCAATCAGGGCCTTCCTTCCCCTGGCTGCCGGCTGCCAGCCCGGGCCTTCCTTTATTCTGTGCTACCCCTTGGTGGTCGGTGCATGTCATAGTGAGTGGTCAAACTCCCAGTCAGTCGAACTCCTAAGGGGACAATTTGCATATTAGCCTTTATTATAAAGGACTGTGCTTTTAATGATGACAAAAGCTAATGTTTTTGATGGAATAAATCTACTTATCATTTTTGCTTTCATTCATGGTAGATTGTTTTCCCATGTGTTTTATTGTGAGATCATATTTCATCTATTTTAACATGAGGGAATCCTAGAAGTTTAAGGTGAAGAGTTTTCTCTAAAGAGAATTAGTGCTTGTGTCTGCTCAGAAGCAAGGTGTGCTAAAGACCTGGAACATATATCATCTACAACTATTCTTTGAAAATTATTTCTAGCCCCTTCACCATCTTGTACCTGCCTGATGCATACAAACTTTAATTTTTTAATAATGGTGTTTTTCTATGAAGCACATAATCCAACGCAATACTCAAATATGATCTGGACAGAGTACTAAAGAACTATTATCACCCTTATTCTGGAAATTCTACTAATGCTAGGATAGCCTAAAGATATATTACTGCTTTTGGCAAACATGGAAAAACAAACTGTAACACAGAGATGGGAATATGCATAATTATGAGAGAGTTGGAAAAACATGAAACTCGTTCTTTATGAAGTAAGCTATGTAAATTGTGACATGTAAACCACAGTTCTATTCATTCCTTGACATTAAATAAAAATCTTACAAAAATAAAGGAGAAACAAAAAGCAAGTAACAACTACCACAAAAAAGGTTTACACTTCAAAGTGATTTATGTCTCACCTTTTGAGCTGCAAGATGGAGGGCTGTTCTTTGGCTATGGTCCGTTTTATTCACGTCTGCTCCTGCCTTCAGGAGCGCATCCGCACAGTCCAGTCTGTCAGCCAGCACACAGTACATCAGTGGTGTTCTCCCAAATTGATCTTCTTTGTCTTTAAGGGCAGCATTTCCTGAGTATAAGAACATATGGTGATATTTTGTAATTGTTTGTTATTACTACTATGACTAGGAAGTACATTTACTGTTTATATTTTCTCATTTTTACTGACCCTATGGGATAGATATTACCATCCCCATATTATAGGAAACTGAGACTCAGAGAAATAAAGTAAGCTGTTTACATGACACTGAGAGTAGGTGTTGGAGCTAAAATTCAAAATGACTGTTGGTTCCAAAGGCTATATTCTTAACTACTATGTTATGCTAAATTAACATTTTGAGATATGAAACTACTTATTTTCCTCCTTTCTTTTGTCAACGAATATTTACTTTGTGCAGACCATATACTAGGCAGTGTGGCATGTTTTTGAGAGATAAAAAAATGAATCCTGGTTGGCTTTCCGTTTTATACAATATGATGCAAGTGCACTGTACCCTGATGCTTCTGCTATTTACAACTAAACTCCCAGGAAATATATATGAATGATGGAGAAAAGAAGAGAGCCTGGTTAGAGAACTATGACACTCCAGGAACAACCTGATAGTGAGTTCCCTGAAGGTTTTGTTGTTGTTTTGCTTTTTATCTTTATTTTTTATTGAATTTATTGGGGTGACATTGGTTAAAAGATTATATAGGCTTCAGGTATACAATTCCATAATACATCATCTGTATATTGTATTGAGTGTTTACCACTCAAACTCAAGTCTCCTTCCATCACCATTTGTCCCCTTTACCTTCTTCTATCTCCCCTTCCCTATAGCAATCACCATACTGTGATTATGTCCATGAGTCTTTCTCCACTCCCCCCTTCCACCCATATATAGTCAGCCTGGGTGCTAAAGTAGCCCACCAGAACACTAATAGCCACAGACACAAATTCCTCAAGATGCCTTCTCTCTCCAGGCAAGAGACTGGGGAGTGGGTAGCCATGTAGCACTGAACTCTTTTGGCTGCACCTGTTCTACTCAAAGCTCATACAGTACAACAAAGAAACTTCAATTCCTTTCCTCTGCAGAGACTGTGGGGAGAAGCCCTATGAAGCCCTGTGCCCCAAATTAAGCAAAGGATGGCAATGAGTTGGTATTTTACCAACTAGAGAGTGGGGGAATGTTGTGGAGAGGAAAAAGCTTAAGAAAACAATTCTTTTTAAAAATATATTTTTATTGTTGATAATATTACAGATATCTCCAATTCCTCCCCACTTAACCCTCGCCGCCCCCCACCCCCTGCAAAAAAAGCAATTCTTTAAATAGGTGCATGAAGTTCTGGACAGCTTCTGGACAGCTCATGTATGAAACTAACCAGAATCAAACCAGAAAAACCTTTGGGAAACTGTCAGTTTCTTATTAACTTAGTTACTGGGTTACAGCCTGACCCAATAATCTCTCTTCTAGGTGTTTACTCAGGGAAAACAGAAGCATGAAAACGTGTTCCCATAAAAACCTGTATGTGGATATTTGTGGAAGCTCCATTTATAATTGTTAAGAGCTAGAAACATCTCAGTTGTCCTTGATCTGAAGAATGACAAAAGAAACTGTAGCACATGCACACAATGGGATACTGCTCAACAATAAAGACAAATGTACTACTGATCCACTCAACTAGATGGGAAAAAATTCTCAAATGCATTCAGTAAAAAACTCAGCCTCAAAGGATACCTATTATTTGATTCACTTATATGGCATTCTGAAATATGCAAAACTATAGGGACAGAAAACAGAGCAGTGCTGGATTTCCAGGGCTGAGATGTGGGGAGGTATTGGTTATTCAGGAACTTACAGGAATTTGGGGGTATGATAGAACTGTTCTATATCTTGATAGTGGTGATAAAAATGACTACATATTTGTTAAAATTAAATAATTGTACAAAGGTGAAGTTTATAATATTCACTGCATTACAACTCAGTAAACTTTATTTGACAAGAACAACAATGAAAGATGTCATGGTTCCTGCTATGCACTTGAAGTGAAAAGATGCTGCTACTTTTATCACAGATAATGATCAGGTATGTATATACTAACTGAGGGCAATGTCATGGGAGTTGAGAATAAGGGAAGCTGGTTACTTTTTTTTTTTTTTTTGACAGGCAAACTAAAAAAATTTACTTTTTTTTTCAATTACAGTTTACATTAAATATTATTCTATATTAATTTCAGATGTATAGCATGGAGGTACTTGACAAAATCATGTACTTTACACAAAGCTTTTGCATATCTTAGGAAACTATCAACAAAACAAAAGACAATATTCGCTAATGATACATCCAATAAGGGGTTAATATGCAAAATTTATAAAGAACTCTGACAACTCGCTTTCACTGGTTTTGCTCAGTGGATAGAGCAGCATCCTGCAGACTGCAGGGTCCAGGGTTCAATTCCAGTCAAGGGCATATGCCTGAGTTTGGGGCTCCATCCCTAGTAGGGGGCATGTAGGAGGCAGCCAATCAATGATTCTCTCTCATCACTGATGTTTCTATCTCTCTCTTCCTCTCTGAAATCAATAAAAAAAATATTTTTTAACAAAAGAACTCAGATAACCCAACACCAGAAAAACAAACAATCTAATTAAAAACTGGGCAGAAAACCTGGACACTTCTCCCAAGATGGCCAATAGACATAAGCAGAGTTGTTCAATAGCACTGATTATCAGAAAAAAATGCAAATCAAATCCTAATGAGATACCACTTCACTCCTGTTAGAATGGCTCTCATTAATAAATCAAGAAACAGTAAGTGTTGGTGAGAATATGGGGGGAAAAGCAAGCTACTTTTAAGATTTTTTTGCCATGAACTCGGCTAATGGGGGGAAAAACTGACCAAATGAAATACTTTCTTTGGGGAAATATAAATGTTAGATGAAGAAAGAGAAGGTGTAGGAGTTATTTCTGAATTATTTTGTGCCTGTAACTAAACTGTGTTTTAGTTCTAAGTGTTTCAATATATATTTACATCTTGGATCTACTGGAATCCAGAAGTATTTTCTGGCATTTCAGATAACTCACGTTGCTAATCTATAGTCACACGTAGATTCGTAATAAAGCAAGAAAGGTCATGGCTCTTGAAATTTAAAAGATATATTCAGATTGCCTCCCGGAGGAAGCAGATGTTCTTTTTCAAAACTTTGGTTTTGAGATGGAGGCAAAAGTTTTACATTTGATCAACATATCATAGAGGCCTCCTGTGCAGAAGTCCTGTGAGAGGTAAAGTTCTGCAAGATATTATTTTGTGCGTAAGGGCCTCCAATATCTAATCCAGAAGATTTCCGAGATTCTATCATGGCCTTTTAAGATGAGGACTCATTTAAACCCAAACTCATTTACAAAACTAAGGTGCATTACAGGTAGAGCATGTTCCTTTGAGCTCTTCTGGAGTCAAAATGACACTCACAGAGAACATGTGGGTGTAAGGCCAGTCTCCAGTTGTCTTTCACGATTGAACGACTCTCTCTACCAGCATCTCACTTGTTAATGTTAAGCAGACAGTAGTGCCTAGAACTAGCAAGATGTCAGCAATTCTTACCATTTCCCCCTAGAGTGCAATTGTCCCTTTGGTAAGGGAGGGACTCGGGAACTGTGGTCACACATACAAATGCTGAGAAATGGATGCAATCATCACTTTCTGGGATAATCCTAACAGTTAGGATTATGATAGAGCAATAAATGGACCTAACTGATTAAATTTTGCATGGACAAAGCGAAATCAGCAGCATGGGGTTAATAGGTAACTCTACCACCAGGACATAGAACGTTAGGCCGATTGCTATGCTCTTCCCCAGTCTGTAATGGACAGGGAACCTTCAACCTTCGTCAATCCCTGGCACATTTTGTTTTTGTGTAACTGGTTGTTTATAGTTCCCAACAGAGAAGATTTTACTAGGTTATGTCACCCACTTGATATGTTATGGCTATAAGGCAAAATCTGTGTATTTGAGGAGACTGAAGGCATAGATCCCCTCTTCATGGTGAGAAAAAGCAGCATTCAGCCTCAGTTCAGTCTTGTTTTGAGTTGCTTACGGAGGATGGTGACTTGATCGCTGGTTTCTGAGTAACAAGGGTCCCTTCAGGTTCGGAGCTTCCTGGCTGAGGGAGCCTGTGCCTTTACATACCTGCCCTCCCATCTTCCTTAGATTCTCCAATCACAGGATTCAGCCAATACCTGCCCAGCCTCCACAATAGTTCAATTTTGATGTCTGATGAAATGACCGATTGTTTCCCAACATGTACAAACGTAGGGCTTGCGCTGTAAACTGATATGCACTAGGTGACAGGCACTTGTATTTGCATTGCTGTCGGGGACAGCTAATGCGGAAAGCAGCTGCCTCGTGTGCTACGTTGTTTTAATTATTCTGGCAACTGTAGAGAGAGCGCCTCTAATCCATGGCCATTTGGTGCTTGCTTAACTGGGCTGGCTTTCTGTATGTGCTCAGCCTGCACATAGCTCAGAAAGCTGAGCTGAACCATGACTACCGCACTCGGTTATTTTTAAGTCTACTTGGAGCAGAAGAGTCTGGATGGTTAATAGACTCAGATGTGCAGACACCAGAGCTCCAGCTCTGGCAGTTAGAGGAATGACTGCCAGTTGTAATGACAGTTGTGCCAGTCCACACCACAGCTATGGTGCCATACTCTCCAAAACGAGTAAATCCAGCATTCTCTACTGACATCTTACTTGCTTGTTGTGAAATGTTACCTTCATGTGGCATGAGAGATGCCTTCATCTGTTTTCATCCACTCCCTATCAATCTTGGGAAGGCGTTTAAATAATATCTGCTTGTTTTAAAGGCATCATAAGAACAGTGGAAAGAAAATAGGATTAATAATCAAGAGATTGGGATTGACTCTCAACTTTACAGTTATTAGCTCTCCACCTAAATTTCTTAATCTCTAAATCTCAGTGTCCTAACATATGAGAACAACATACATATTTTGAGGACACTTGAGATTTTATAAAATATGTTTACATATTACTTCATAATTGTTGTGGTATTTTCACATGTCATTTACACTTATTG